GTCCAGCTGGCTTAGCCACAGCCTAAGGGCAGGGGAATGAACCAGATCGCCTGGCTGTATCAGTCCCAGGATTCTCAGATCACCTGGCTATATCAGTCCCAGGATTTTCAGCATTGGCTGATTCCCTCAGGTCAATGAGTCAGAATAGAACAGCCAACATGATGAAAGAGATTTCCTTCTTTTCTAATTTTTGGATTGCTTTTCCTCCAAATGGAATTGAACAGGACACAGAGGGAAGAAGACTGGGATTTAACCAAGCACTTGTTCTAGATTTGACTTTTCCCTGAAAAAGTGAGTCCTCTTGCTTTTGGATGTAAGTTGAATCATTTGGTCCAATTCCTGTTGCTTTTCTGTTTGTTGATGGGCATTGAAGATATCTATGTCTCAAGCAGAACTGTTTCCATCGGAGGACAGTGTTTATTGATTTGTGATCACATGAGACATTGGGCAGATTTTTTTTCCTTAGGAGATAGTGGAGCTGCCTCAAAGGTGCTCTCCTCTTTTGACTCATTGGAATGATGAGAACGATTGCCTTGGACATGAATGGGACAACCTTCATCCAGAAAGAGAGAAACCAGGAAACATGACAGGAGAAGGGCAACAGCTGGCGACGTCCTTGGAAAAAACTAGCCAGTTGTTACTGCCACTTCTTCTAGCATAGACTCTTTGTATGTGGCCTTTTAGTGGCTTGAAAGCCTACTTTTCTGGTGACCATAGAGCCCATAAGCTCCAAGAGAGAATTAGGAGTGGGGGGAAAGAGGAATAGAAGAAAATAATAAGATGGAAAACCATGATCTTTTACCTCAACTTCCCACTGAGTGAGAATCTTGTAGCACTTTTGAGGCAGCACTTGCCCTCTATTATTAGGCAACATTGGAAGAAAGCCTGTCTTGCCCTTGATCAGAAAAGGCAGTCTTTGGAAAATGAGGTTGTTTTAAGGTGAAATCTCTGTATTTTAAATTCTACTCCCTGGTTTTCTGTCATTTTGGAGTAGTCTAGGCCAAAGCTGTTTTCTTCCACCTGGCAGGCCTTTGCATGTCTGAGGAAGTCCTCCTAACTTTCCTTCCTTCTCTCCCATGAACTAAACCTCCCCATTTCCTTTAGTCATTCTGTAAAGAACAGGTATTCCAGACCCAGAATGCCCTTCTCTTGGACACATCGCAGTTTCTAAAACTTTGTTATTTACTTTCTTATAAGGTATAGAGCACCACTTTTTGTTGGGTTCCTGGAATAATCTCTTATATGAGACTCAAGTAGTAGACCTTATGATGGCATCACTCACTAAAATGGGAACAGGAACCTTCCTGGATACTGTACGATACCTGACATACCTTAACCCTGAGTTCACATGGTATCTCTGAGGTACAGAGATACCCTTTTAGAGATTTTAAATCTTCCCGGCTCTGATGGTGATTCTAAGAGAATGAAAATTTTCCCGTGTTCTCAACCAATCAAAAAAGTGCTAGCATCTCTATTCCTGAGACTCCCTGATCAAAATGCCCAACGGGTGGCCTGGAGGTATAATGACTTGCTCTGCATCCTCTTCCTGGTTCCTTCAGACAGGAACCATTGCTTCCAGAGCTTTCCATCCCTCTTCAGAGCTAATAAAGTCTTAGCTTACAGCAGCAACAGGCAGACCCAGAACATGGTTCTGGCCCCAGAGGCGTATAAAAGAGAGAAAGTGACATCAGAGGATGAAATCACTTCCTGGCATTTTCTTTCGTCCTTTTTTGCACAGTCTGTTGCACCCAAACCACACCCTTCCTGGGAGACCCCCATCCAGAATCACTGCAGGCTCTTGCTTTTATTTAGCAGTTACCGAGCAGAGCACTGGATGCTGCACTGAGTGTATACTTGACAGAGTCCATGATGGTGCAGCACAGGTCAGAGAATGGAAGAGGAGTTAGATTTGCAGTGGTTTATAGGACAGGAACAGACTCAGAGAAGTGAGGAAGGGCCCAAAGGCACATAGTGAATTAGTGGTAGGATTAGGCTAGAATCCAATTCTATGGACTTCCAATCCAAAACTCTAATACAATATGTGTATGCTTGAACAATTTCTCAGAGCTCTGGTAGCATAGTGCCTAAGGCACTTGACTGCTAACCAGAAGGCTGGCGGTTCAAACCCACCAGTCATTCCTTGGAAGGAAGGTTGGACAATCTACTTCCATAGTGATAACCACCTTGGAAACCCAAGGAAGGGTCACTATGAGTCGGGTCCGACTCAACGCCACATAACAACAACAACAATGAACAATTTATCTTAGAAAGATCAGCACAAGGCTGGTCCCCACGAGGCGGAGGTTAGAGATGTCCCAAATGTCCAAACTACCATGCCACTCCATCATTTCAGACATTAACTCCTCCTCTTTCTCCTCCTAGTAATCTCCCCCATCTTATGGTTCTGTATTTTGCTGTAATGCCTCACAGAACTCAGACACCCAAGGGATTGTCTCACATAGTACTGGTGGAGGCTGGCAGGCTGGCATGTCCCAGGTCTGTGAGTAGGTCTGGAGGATCCTCCCAATTCTCAGGGTTTGATGAACCTTGATCAGCAGGTCAGATGACGGCTGCTGTCCCAAATCCAGGGGTGAGATGAGGATGAGCCAAAACAGAACCGGAGCAAAAGGAGGGCAAACCTTTGCAGGAGATTTGTAGGTATACCCTCAAGAAAGCTAAGGGTGGTGATTTGAGTTATATCCTCCAGCAGGGCAGGACTCAAGATTCAAGATATATTCCATCTGTGTTGCTCCAACGGAAATAACACAAGTGGATGGCTTTAACAATCAGCAGCTAGTCAGTTGCTCAAGGCAAATCCAACCACAGAGCCGATTGCCAGTCATTATAAGGAATGACTACTATCAGCTGCCCAGCCAAGTTCACACCTGATCTTAACTACCACACCACCCCAAACAGGCATGGATAATAGGATTTACAATACATCACTGAATGGAGGACAATGGCTAGAAGGGCCACATCAAGCAATTCACCACAGTGTAAAATCATATGTGTGTGTTTGTATATTTATTTATTTATGCAGTGGTTAAAGCATTTGGCTGCTAACCAAAAGGTCAGCCGTTCAAACTTGCCATCCATTCCATGGGAGAAAGACGAGGCAGCTGGCTTCTGGAAAGATTTACAGCCTTGAAAAGGCTATGGGTCAGTTCTAGTCTGTCCTCTAGTGTTGCCATGAATTGGAATTGAGTCAATGGCAGTGGGTAGGATCCCTTATTTAATCTCAGTGGTTGTTACCAAATCCTCTTCAGAACCCCTGTGGACTAAAATCCTTTTTGTCCTTGTCCCTGTCCTATATTCTTAACCAAGCCCTAACAAGTTCTCATCGATACGGTGACAAGATGAGGTATAGGATAATATAATTGACATATGTGGTGAAAGTCCCTTCATTCACTCTGAAGGACAGGTGTAGGAAGGACAGGTCTCCTGCCTAGATTGAGGGCTAGGAATGCAGCACACCAGTGAAGATCACTGGAAAATGGAGAGACAGAGGGTGTAAAACACTTAAGTGACTCTTGCTAATATAAATAGGATCGGGGGGGGGGGGGGGGGGGAGGAAGGAAAAGTAGAAGCAATGTACTTATAGCCAGAAAAAAGAGCCAGTATTTGAACCAAGACTGAAAGTGCAGACCTAGGGTGGGCTAAAGAGATTCAATAAGTGACTTTCCAGACTGTATTTTGTTCCCATTGCACATACAGTTGGAAGCCAAATGCAAGCCACCAAGGTTGCAGTGAAACAGCGAACAATTAGAGTGCAAATACTTGTGGGCAGCTGTGGGAGTGGAAGCCACCTGCTCCAAGTTTACAGCTTTGTTAAACTTGGTAAACATTAAAAATGGAATGGGAACGCCCCCAGTCTGTAAAGCATCCCATCCCGTTTCTGGGAGGCCTTGGTCGGGGAGCTGGGGTGGCCCTGTCCTTGACCAGGCCCGTCTCACCATGGCCTAGAGCTGCTTTCTGCTGGTAGGATCAGTGCTATCTGTAATAGATTGAGGGATGTAGGGAGTAACACAGAATCATAATGTTTATAGAGTTTGGAGGCACCATAGAGATCCCAGAACATAACTTCTCTTCTAATGATCAGATGAAGAAACTGAGATCCAGAAAAGTGATGTGCCCAGAGTTATATAGTTATGGGCAGAATTGACTCTTGATCCCTGAATTACTGACCCTTAGTTGTGTTTCTTCCTTTAAGCTTTGCTGGGTTCATAAATGGTAACACAGGGAGTCATAGCATTATAGAATGTTATGGATGGAAAGTTCTGGTGGTATAGCACCTAAGGCGTTCAACTGCTAACCAGAGGTGGTGGTGGTTGTTGTTATGTGCCATCAAGTCAAATCTGACTCACAGCGACCCCTCCTTGGGTTTCCAAGGCAGTATCACTATGGACGTAGATTGCCCAACCTTCCCTCCGAGGAGTGGCTGGTGCGTTTGAACCTCCAGCCTTCTGGTTAGTAGTCAAGTGCCTTAGGTGCTGTGGTTCAAATTCACCAGCCACTCCGCTGAAGGAAGACTGGGCAATCTACTTCTGTAAAGATTTACCACCTTGAAAACCCAAAGGGGACTGCTATGAGTCAGAATGGACTCATGGCAGTAAGGTTTTTTTTTTTTTTTTTTTTAAATAGTTGTCACAATGACTAGGGTGTATTAATGGCATTTAGTGACCAGGAGCTAAATATCTTGAAATGTGCCAAATATTCCTGAATAACGAACTGTCTTGCCTAAATACCAAGAGTGCCCCTGTGGTCCACAAGCTAACTTTTTAATCAAGGAATCTGAGTCTAGAGATAGGGAAGGACTAACCAAGGTCCCAAAGGGAATTAGCAGCTTCCTGACACCAGACCATCGCTGGTCCTACTTCCCACTGAGTCCCTGAGTGAATCAGTAGCAACTCTGGTGTCTCCTGCACAGGGATGAATCCAGCTTCATGCCCCTCAGCTTCTACTGTACTTGCTCTTGAAACTATTTCTGCGTCAGCACTTACTTGGACTTGAGGCCCTCCTGTCCATAGGGCTGCAGCAGATACTGGTGCACAAGCTTGTCCCTGAGAGTTCCAGCCAGTTTGATTTTCTTTCTTGAACGGTGCAGATTGATGATAAAAAGTGTAATGGATCCACGAACATAATTGTGGCTGAGATCCAAAGAGAGAGAGTAAGAGAGAAGAGAAAAGACAGAAACAAAACGATCAGTTAGATACTCCCAAATAATTTACAGGCTGATTGTGTGAAACAAGATCACCCCAGAAAACAGCACTTATTCTATGGTTCTTGGCTACTGTAGACCTTCAAAGACTGAAAGGCTTTATTATTGTGGTTTCTTGCGAAGCAGATACCCACTTCCCACCACATTCTTTTCGTTTAAATTTATTGAAATGATTATAGAAAACAAACTATATATTCTCTTCCCAGTGTGGAAGTAAATAAACCATGCTGATTAGAAAAAAGGAAAAACAGACAGAAACACAAAGAAGTAAAAGAAAACTCCCCATAATTCTAGTATCTTGATAATTAGATACTGATGACATTTTGGTAGACATCCTTCCAGTATTTTTTAATTTATGAATTCAACAAATATTTATGGAGACTTTGACACATACATGTATATTATTCAGTTTTTATATAATTGGGATCACACTGCTCACACAGCTTTTTTCACTTAATGAATATCTTAAACATGTTCCCACGCTATTATATATTCTTCTACTTGTAGAAGAACGTTACATTCTTCAATCACAGAAGTGTAACATCATTTATTTAACTAATCATCTACTTTTAGAAACTTACATTGCTTTCAGTGTTTTATGATTATAAATTAGTGATGAAGGACTTCATTGACATGGCTTTTTTGTGCATCATGATTATTTCTGGTGGATAAAGTCCTAGAAGTTGGAATCATCAGGTCAAAGGGAATGCAACTTTCATTAGGTCAAAGGGAATGCAAATTATATGATTCCTCACCAAATTTTCTTCCTCATTCCCAATGGTGCCCATTCCTGTGGGAAGATTTTTATATCCCTGCTCAGTTGAACCCAAAAGTGATCACATAACTTGCTTTGGCCAAGGAAATATATGTGGACATGCTAAAGCCTCTGAGAAGAAACTTTACAGAGCCAACCCATGTTTTCCAAAATCTCTTTGCCTTCTGGCACAAGACTGCTACTGTTGTTGATAGAGGTTGTCTATTGAGCTGGGTCTTGGAATAAAAATGATGCAGAGCTATAGTAGTATTGAGAATGAGAAACCAGTTTCCTTATTGAGAGGCTTGGGGAGTCCTTTCTTCTCATGGCATAACCTCACCTATCCTATCACACACATTTTGATACATTGGTATTCATTTTCCAGAAAGTTTGCACTCATTTGCCCCATCAGCTGTGTATGAGAGCACCCATTTCCTCATACCAACAATAGATGTTAAACCTTTAAAATACCTTTGTCAACTTGAGAGGTGAAAAGGGGATTTTAGTGTTGTGTTAATTTGTACTTTTTAATTCATACTGAGGTTCTGTGTTTTTTCATTTGTCTGTCATTGTTATTTCTCCTTTCATGAACTGCCTGTTCATGTCCTTTGCCCATTTTTCTACTGATTTGTAAAAACTATTCATTAAACATTAAACATCCTTTGCATGTATGTTGTAAAATTTCGCCCAGTTTTCTTTGATCATTTCAGTTTGTTTGCATTGTATGCTGATGTATAAAAGGTAAACATTTTTGTATGTAATCAAATTTATTGATCTTTTGCATTTATGCTTTTGATATTTTGCCCACCCTAAGATTGTGAAAGGAGCTCTGGTGGTGTCGTGCCTAAGGCACTTGACTGCTAACCAGAAGGCTGGCAGTTCAAACCTACCAGCCACTCCTCGGAAGGAAGACTGGGCAATCTACTTCTGTAGTGATACTGCCTCGGAAACCCAAGGAGAGGTCGCTATGAGTCAGGTCCGACTCGACGGCACGGCACGTAACAACAACAACAACAACAAGATTATGAAACTGTTCACCATTTTGGGATTTTTTTAACCAGCACAGGATGTTCAGAAGGCTGAGAGCTCTATATACTTACAGGCAAGAGCCTTTCAGCACGTATCTGAATTCAGCACAGCGTATATCAGCATATATTGTCTCTAGGAAAAAGACTGTTTCTAAGGGTCCCTTAGGGCCTCATCTGGATGGGTTAATGAGAGGAAACAAAAAATGACCCAGCTCCGCCTTCAAAGGAGGAGTTCTGAGAAACTCTAAGGCAACTTTGCCTAGAGGGAAACATCATTCCTCAGCAGAAACAGCATCCCTCAGCCTCAGGGTCACTCATCTCTGCTTCTAAAAGAGCTAATTAAGAGTTGAGTGACCAAGGGCAGGTTGATATTATAATTTGGGATTTTTTTTTTTTTTTCAATGATTGTTTCCAAGATTCATCCCTGAAGATTTAGATTCAATAGATTTGGGATGTGGCTTAGAAATCGATATTTAAATATTTTGGTGTTATTTGGTAGCTAAGTTAGATCTGGGAACCATCTTGCCGAGAGAAATGAGAAGGACTCCCCGAGTAGGACCTGCCGGCTGTGCGTCAGATGATTTTTACTGCCTCTATAGGTGGCCCCATGACTGTGTTGAAGGCCTTTTGGACACCTGCATTTATGTTCTGCTAAATTATGAAATGACTCTCCTACCCACTCCCTCCTCCTTTAGTCCCTCTCTCCCAATTTCTTACAGTATGTGAACTAGATTTATCAACCAAATGCATTACGTCAGAAGAGAATGACAGTTTACTTGAGCATACTGTGCCATCAAAGCTCTGAAGACAGGTGTGGGTAGCCTATGTCAGCATTTATCATCACTATAGAACACCAACTATATTCCAGTGGTGGGCTTGAAGCTTAGCTTAGCTGTATGCAAAATTGAGGAAGACTACATTAATGACAGGTACTCTGGGCTTCATAGTATGAGCAAAAGGAAGTATGGGTGGGTACTCATTTTGCTAGACTGTAGTAAACCCTTTTGCTAAGTACCATCAACAACCCTCTCAAACTCCAGCAGTGGAGGAAGAGAGAGCCATGTGCTTGCATTTACAAATTTCTGCTCTGCAGAGCTGGGGCAAAATGAGCCCTTGGAGACTGTAGAAGAGATGGGTGGGATGTGGGGAAGTGGTGGGTGGGAAGGGGACTTGAAGTCACAGTGTTGCTTCAGGGAAAGCTGTCTTTTCAGGCTGTTCAGCCGCGGTCTGATTCCCATTTAAGTAGTTCCCCTGAGGGAGACAACCCGGTACCAAAAGCCAGCCCAGAGACCAGTAGGCGGAGGCTCTCACACAGCCTCCTCAGGTAGGAATTGGCATGGAAGCCTGCTGAGACACACGTCTCCCTGCCTTGGCTGATAGACAGACAATTAAGCATAGGCTTCTTGGCTGGGGAGTGCACTACCAACTTGAACATCCTGTGTTGAGAATCCAAACTCCTAAAGAATGTAAATTTTCTACCCACAGAAAAATAATCTTGGAGGAGTATTTATTTCATAAGAACTTGGGATATGAAGGCTTGGCCTACAGGCAAATGCTGACCTTCTGTCAAGAAGGTTTATCTTAGTGAATGCATCTTTCTGGGGAGAAGGTATCTAGGTAGAACAGCTATTTTGCTCCATATCTCATGTACAGTGAGACTTTTTTCACCAGCAGAGAATCCATGAATCTGGAGTTCATCTCTGCTAGCTATTCTTTTCCTGCCTGACATCTTCTCTTTGTTGCTGTAGGAGAAAGAGGAGGAATTGAGTCAGGGAAAGGGGCTTGGAGTTGGAACAGCTTGGGTGTAAGAAGTGGGAGATGTCACTTGGGGAGGTGCATCTTGACTTCCGGATAGAAAACAGTCACTATTCTAGAAATGCCTCTGATGAAGCTGAAAACCTGGGAAGTGGAGGGGAGGACGATGTATTGGAGTCCATGGCTGTTCCTAGTGAAAGTCAATGTGTTTGAAAACTGGGTTGGTCCATTGTCTCCAAATCTAATTCAAAGTTTTTGGGTTCGGTAAGAGGCCGTGTTTTGCCAAGCATTTTTTTTTCTCCTTAATTTCAAAGCCCCTGTGTATTTTAAAGGAAATTTAATCCACATGTTTCTGATTCATTTACACTTAACTCATCAAAATATTGTTTTGTAAGAGCTATTTGATGTCCAAGAAGCCTCAGGAACCTTTTTTATGAGTATTTAAAAAAAACTTCTTCTGAAAAACAGGAAGTCTTGTTTTGCCAATAATAAACGAACTTGAACCCCAAAAGGCTCAATTTTGCTTCAACATCCAGCAGGTTCCCATTGGTTCTAAACTTGGCTAAGGGTCTCAGCTCCTCCCCAGGAACATATACTGTCTCAGAAGAATGGTTTATAAAAAGATTTCCCAGACAAAAGTTGTTTGTTCTCCAAACAAGAAGATCTAGGGTGAGAACTGCCATTTCCCTAATCTGCTAACTCTAGAACAGAAAGCAGCACGTACCTGCTGGCATGAGGATGAATATACATTTTTTTCTCCAAAATAAATCATGAGAAATCTCTCTACTGATTCAGCCATGACCCACAGTGCAAGAGGTGGCCCTGAGAGGCAGTGAGGTATTCAAGGAGAGGGAGGGGATTCCCGGTTGAATAGGACATGGGCCAAATGATCTCTAAGGTTCTTTCCATTTGTGAAGTATTTTGCATCATTAAAGCTGTTATTTACATACGTTGTTGATGTTAAGTGCGGTGGAGTCAGACCTACTCATAGTGATCCCTCCTTGGGTTTCCGAAGCAACAGGACTATGGAAGTTGATTGCCCCATCTTCCTTCTGAGGAGTGGCTAGTGGGTTTGAACCTCCAGCCTTCTGGTTAGCAGTCAAGTACCTTAGGTACTACGCTACCAGAGCACATAGGGGTGACATTATAGAACCTTCAGAATTCAATAAGAAAATATAAATGTAAATATCTGGCACAATGATTGCCAAATAGCAAGTAGTCAATATATACTAGAGTAAAGGAGTTGTTCTTGTTTCATAGACACTGTCTTTGCATTGTTTCATTAGTAAGTTTATACTTTCTCACCCAATCCTTGTTTTGACCAAGGATATATATTTTTTGAGTATTGGTGAAAGTTGAATAGTGTGAAACCAACAGGCCCATTCTGCACAAGTCCTTGACCTCCCTGGCCACAAATAAACTAATCAATCAATAGTGTTTCATTATGATAGTTGTAGGGGCACATACAGGACACCTGGCTTCCAGAGAAAGAAGAGATTCTTCCATTCTTGTACCTATGTACCTGGCAGCACCTGCTACCTGCTGACATGGAGGAGACTTGTCATGTCTGTCAGCTCATCATGGACTCTATTTTTGAGTCTGGGGGAAAAAAAAAAAAACCCTCACTGCCATCGAGTCAATTTCAACTCATCGCGACCTCCATTGGGTTTCCGAGGCAGTAAATCTTTATGGAAGTAGATTGCCCCATCTTCCTTCCATGGAGTAGCTTGTGGGTTTGAACCGCCAACCTTCTGGTTAGCAGTCAAATGCCTTAGGCACTGCACCACCAGAACTCCTTTGGATCTGTTGTTGTTGTTAGGCACCGTCGAGTCGGCTCTGATTCATAGTGACCCCATGTACAACAGAATGAAACACTGCCTGGTCCTGCGCCAGCCTCACAATCCTTGCTATGCCTGAGTCCATCATTGCAGCCACTGTTTCGATCCATCTTGTTGAGGACCTTCCCCTTTTTCACTGACCCTCCACTTTTCCAAGCATGATATCCTTCTCCAGGGAATGGTCCCTTCTGATAACATGACCAGAGTAGGTGAGATGAAGTCTGGCTATTCTCACTTCCAAGAAGCATTCCAGCTGCATTTCCTCCAGGACAGACTTGTTAGTTCTGGCAGTCCATGGTACTTTGAGTATTCTTCACCAACACCACAACTCAAAAGCATCAACTCTTCTTTGGTCTAGTAGGAACAAAAAGACCTTTTCCCCTATTATTACTATTAGGATCAAGTGTGCAATGGATTAACAAAGTCTTTTCTTTCTTTTTTTAATGGGAGAAAGAGGCTGACACTGGCAGAAGCACAGTGACACTGTTTCCCCAGAACAGTTCTGGAATGACTAGCCATAGAAAGCACAGGGGAGCTGATGGTGTAGAGAGAAAAATCCTCAATCCAAATCATTTTAGTAACTTTTTGAGATTTCAAGCTAGGGAGTGGCAGAGCTCTGAATCACTTCCCCACACAACTTGCTTCTGGCTGACATCATAAAATCAAAGGGGAAGAGAGCTACAACTATAAGTCAGCAGTAACCTCCTGATGTCCCATATCTGCATTCATTCATTTATCAACCATTTACCGAGACCTTCCTGATGCCACTCACCATATTAGACACCAAGAATACAAAAATGAAGGAAACACTAGCCCTGAGTTCATGATATACTCAGAATATCAGTGACAACTTCCCATAAGAATGTTGAAGAGCATTAGGGTGAAATTTGAATGAGACTATGTCCTCTGGGAGGACACCCAAGTCCCGTTAAGCCCATGGCAACTGACGTTTTTTCGCTAGGCTCTCAGACTAGTAGTAGAAAAGCCACAGACTGATGGGCTTTTCCAACAAGGACAGAAGGGGCCAAGAATAATTTTTGTCTCTTGAGACTGGGGTCCACTTTTTGGGTGGTTACCTCGAGGCTGGGCAGAGACAAGGAACAATGTTTCCTTGTGTGGTGATCAGATAACTCCAGGCCAAGGCCACAAAGCAGTCACTTGCTGTCAGGTATTGCACTGAACTTCCTGCTGAGCAAAAGGGATGTTGAAAACCTTTTGGCCTCTGCCCAAACCAGGGACCCTTCATCCACAATAGGTACTTGTATCTACAGACAAGACAACTGGCCCCTGGCCCCCCTTTGCTCAGAGTGATTCTTTGAAAAATCTTATCATGATAAATTAATTGGCTCGGCTCCTCTCTCATCAAGGAAGGAGAAGGAGCGTCTGCTGTAACCTGACCACTCAGGGCTCTTGGTGCCATCCACTCTCCTTGATCAGCCCCTGATGGGCCGGGGTGGAATGAAGGCCCGGTTGGAGGCTCTTGCTGGCCCTTTCCTCCCCCTGAGATTTTTCTCAGCATTAAGAGAAAGACTTGTCTTTTCGGTGGCTGCCTACTCTACCCGCTTCAACAGGAAGTGAGGTAAGAAAGCCGTATTTGGTCTAATGGGCTTTGCTTTAGACCCAGTTTAAAAGTTTTACTTTATGGTCCTCATGTTTTAAAATATTGTATCTGCCAAACTTTGTTTACTGAAATCAATTTTCTCTTTGCTTTAAAGACAAGTGTAACTATAACAAATACTTCAGATAAAAAAGACATTACCACATTGCGTTTTAAGTGCAGCCCAAAATAAAGGTAAACCAGATTTCAGTAAGTGTCTTATATCCTAAAAGGGGTGAAAAGATTTTTAAAATGCTGAAAATGGTTCTTAAGCTCGCCTCACTACCTTTGAGTCCTTCTTTAGTTCTGGGGACCCCAGCTTGAAATACACTGAGCTAGGACGAGTTTAGGTCTTAGACTCAGAAATGCAGACCTATAGCCTCAAGCTCTGCTGGTGGATCAGATGAGTACTAGGTCTCACCTTGGTGCAGGTTTTACAAAACTAAACCCACTGCAGTTGAGTCGGATCCGACTCATAGTGACCCCTCTTTGGGTTTCAGAGGCGGTATCACTATAGAAGTAGATTTTCCAGCCTTCCGAGGAGTGGCTGGTGGGTTTGAACCGCCAGCTTTCTGGTTAGCAGTCAGATGCCTTAGGCACTATGCCATTAGGCACACAAAAAAGTCTCGTGGGCATTACTGGCATCAACTGGCAAAGAGAAAATGCTAAATAAAAATTTGGTGGATGAATAAGTAAGCAAACCTTTTATGAATAAATCCTGTAAGTATGTGAAGAGGGGTTTGCTTGAAGAAAAGGCTGTTTCTCAGAGACGCTTTGAGACCCAGCAAAGAGCAGGTACAGTAATTCCAAAGGCAGTTTTTCTACTAAAGGAAGATTATTGACCGACAAGTGATAAGTTTTGAAAGGTCCCAAAATCCATAGATTCTAAAAGGGGCCCAGAGTCCCAAAAGCACCTGGGAAGTAGTTGTCCTGCGCCATCTCTGTTAAGACTTACTTGTGGTGGTTTGTGCAGTGAGCATAAATCCTTAGTTTGTCACGGATCACTCGGCCTGGGCGTGGCTTCCGCTGGAGCCCAGCCACGTGCACGGCCAAGACTTTGGGGCCAATCAGGCGCTTGTAAAGGAGAGACAGCCAGTAGTCCTGAGGAGAACACAGAGGCAGAGAGTCAGGGGGGGAGTACACCTTCAGGTGTTCTGAATAAACACAAGAAGTGAGCCAGAAACCACCTCTTCCACAGAGTAGTGGATCGTAACCCTTGACACCCCAACCGTGCAAGCATGGTCACTCCAATGAGACCCTAACCATGTAGGCATGGTCACCCGAAGTGTGGGTTGATAGTGAAGCAAGTGCCGTCTAAAGTGACGATTTCAACTGACTAAATGGGGAAATGCCAAGTGATGCAGACCCAGAGCAGAATGTAAACGAATGAACGGAAGGTTTTCACCCAGGAAATAACCACCAATCTGGGCCTTAAATTCTGAACTTTATTTTCTTACAACTTTACTTTCCATACTGGTTTATGCTTTCTGTTTATTTGTGGAATGGCAGATTTCCAATCCTTGGGATTGTCACCAGTATGACTTTCCAAAAATGCCATTTTCCAAATGCTGTCACTGAAGACTACTAGCGTGGTGAGAGGGAAATGAAGCTTTCCCAGGCAGCATTCCAGAGTCCTCAATTTCAGATCCAGAAATGCAAAGAGAAAAATGTTTGCAAACCATAGTGCTGATTCTTGGTCATCCTCAATAATTCTAAACTAAAAAGAATAATTCTAAACTAAAAGGAATATGAAGCTTTTAACCATTCCGGGGCCCATTTGTAACTGATCAAGAATTACCCAGCCTGAAACCCATATATCAATAAAAATTAACGAAAGCCTGTCCACCACCATCTTCATTTTATTGTATTTGCCATTATATTTTATATTTGTATTTAATACTAATATAAAAATTTTCATTTGTATTATGTAAGGTCTTATTACCTATTAGTTTTCATAATTTATATAAATAATATTCAGTATTTATAACTCACTACGTGCAACAGAACTTCCCAATTTGTCTTGTATGTCCCAAAATCTGCCTCCGTGCCTACTCTGGTGAATTCAGTGAACGTTCTATTCAGTGCATATTATTCAGAGTCTTAAAGATATCCACCATATCTTTTCAGTATTCTCTGTTGCAGATAGAAGCCTCCTAATGATATTTGGTTTTTCTTATGTGGTCGTCTATAACAGCAACTGCTTAAAAGTGTCTGATTAACTACATACATCAGAAGAAAATCTCAAAACTCTTTTGCCACCAGAATAGCTCCAAATTTGGTCTGAGTAGTGGGCTCTAAGCCTTGCCCAACCATTTACCACAATTAGTTTTAAGTGAGCTAAGGATGGCTGTAAAATATGGTCTCTTGATATTTAAAGCCATCACCTATCTGACAGCTTGCTGTACTCTGGTTGCTTATGTGTTGCTATGATGTTAGAAACTGTGCCACTGGTATTTCAAATACTAGCAGAGTAATGCATGATGGACGGGTTAGTGGAGCTTCCAGACTAACACAGACTAGGAAGAAAGGGCTGATGATGTACTTTCAAATATTAGCCAATGAATATCTTATGGATCACAAGAGAATATTGTCTGATACAGTACTGGAAGATACATCCCCCAGGTTAGAGGACACTCAAGACACACAATGGCTGCGATGGACAAAAGCACACTAGCAGCCATGGTGAAGATGTTGGGCCAGCAACGTTTCATTCTGTTGCACGTGGAGTTGCCGAGAGTCAGAGCCAAACAACAACAACAATATTTTAAATAATGTAAATATGTAATCATTGTCAATCATATAGGTGAAAAATACCTCATTGGTTTAATTTGCTTTACAATTTGATAACAATTTCTATGTTTTTATTGATTATTATTTTGTGAAGTAACTATCCCAGTCACCCTTATTTCTTATGGGATATTCAACATTTTCTTACTGATTTGTAACGTATCTTGGTATTAGTAGGAAGAATCCTTTGGAATGTATATGGCAAAAATATTCTGTCCAAGTTTGTATTTTGCCATTTATCACTTTTCTTTCTTCTTCTAGGCCAGAAGGGTAACCCAGGGCCATAGCTTCGGGGGTTCCACCAGTCTCTATCCAACCAGTAATTCTGGTCATTTTTGTGTTTTTTAATTTTGTTTCACATTTTTCCTCCCACTCTATCCAGGATCTCCAGTTTTAATTCCTTTCTGAGCAGTTAGCATTGGTAGTGGGGCACCCTCTAGTTCTTCTGGTCTCGGAGTTGTGAAGGCTGAAGTCCTTGTGGTCCATCTTATCCTTGGACTAATTGTTTCCAGATCATTTATTACTTTTCTTAAAAAAAAACACTTTTGATTGTGATTTGGGTGAAAATTTACAGAGCAAATTGGTTTTCCATTCAACCGTTTATATACATTTTGTTTTGTGACATTGATTGCAATGCCCACAAATGTAACAACACTCTTCCCTGTGGTTTCCATTTCCCTTAGTCCTTCTTCCTATCTATTCCTGACTTCTGAGCTTTCTCCCTGGGAAAAGTCTCCCCTTTTAATCTCTATGGGTGATTGTTCTAAGGGTGTGTACCTCTCTGGTGTTGTTATTCACCTCATAGGCCTATTTATCACTTTTTAATTATTTTTTTAATATTGACAATTTAAAAAATTTTGTACAAATATATATCAATCTTTTTCTTTCATTTCTCTTTTCGTTCACTCTTAGAATGTCTTTTCTTGCACAAGGATCAGGGAAATCTTCAGTTATATTTCTTCTATGTTATCATTTTAAATGTAATCTTTTAATTCATTGGAAAATGGGTGGCACAAATGGTTAAACACTTGGCTAATGACTGAAAGGTTGGTGGCTTGAATCCCACCAGAGATCACCTTGGAAGAAAGACCTGGAGATCTACTTCTGAAAGGTTAAAAATCAAAATCCAGAACTGTTGCCATCAAGTTGAACGTGACTCATGGTGACCCCATGTGTTTCAGAGTAGAACCGAGATGACAACTAATTGAAACTCTATAGAGCACATTTCCAGGATTGCCATGAGTTGGGATTGACTCAATGGCAAATAGTTGTTTTGTTTTACTAACTTTCTCATTTTCTAAATGATTTACTGGGTGTTGTAGCACTATATAGTGAATAACCTATACATTTACCACTGAGCCCACCTTTATCACATACTACCACATCATGATATATAGCACAAAACATTTCAGTATTTTTTAATATTACAATTCATTAATCTTTTTGTTTTTCCATTTTTAAGAAAGTGTCTTAAGTTTGTGTTCCACATTGCCAGATCTGTTTTCTCTAGGATTATTTCTGTCATTTACTACAACCAATGAGTATTTTAATTATCATTATAATTTCAGGTTCCTTGCAATCTTTTCTTGTTTCATTTAGCTCATCTTATTGGCTTGCTTGAAGCATTTACTGATGAGGATCAAAGACTATAGCCTTCAGTATGGATCATTCCAATTAGAGCAGGAACCAGATAACCAGCTCTACTTGGAGAGGACTGCATCAGCACCCACGTCGATGAATGGGTTACCAGAGAGGTGGGACCTCCTCCCTTATCTGGTCCAACCTCCTGGTGACCAGAGGCATGGTCCTCCCACCCTCACCCATTTGGCAGCTAGTCAAACTCTCCCCACTGCCAGTGCTGTGTCACTGCCCCCCCCCCCCCGCCACCTTTCTGCTTAGTGCTTCCCCTGTACCATTTTCTTTTCTTCTTTTCCCTCCCTCTTCCCTGGCCCTTTTCCTTTTTTTTTTTTTTTTGATTCCAAAGAGTGGGAGCATATCTCCCTGCTGCCCACGTGGTTAGCAGTGCCTGCCTCTGCCCCTCCCTGGTCAGAGACTCATGCTCCTGCAGAGCATGTACTATGTTCCTATGCAGCCATATCTGGTGGCTGGCACTTCTGCCAGTGCTGTGCTGCTTTTTTTTTTTTTTTTTTCCCTTTTCCCTTCCTCTTAGTTCTTTCTTCTTCTCCCTCTTGTTTTCCTCTTCTCTCCTTTCTTCCTTTTCACCCCTCTTCCTTTTTTTTTTTATCCTGGGGAGTGGGTACCCACCCCCATTCTGCAATCAACAGCACCTAGCCTGCCTCTACATGGATGGTGGTGTACACTCTCTTAGCATGAGCTCCACATTCTTACTGCAGCTGTGTTTGGTGGCTTACACTTGCACCAGTTTTTTTTTCTTCTTTCCTTCTTTCTCAGTTCTTTCCTCTTCTGTCCCATTATTTTTTTCTTTTTCTTCCTCTTACTCCTGTCTTTTTTTCTTTTTATTGATCAGATTGAACAAGTGTCTCACCCCTCACCATTTCCACATTAAGAAGTGTTGCCCCTGACCCTCCATACTGAGCAGTGTGTGTTCCCACTGGGTGAGTGCTGTATTTCCATTATAGCTGTGTTTGATGGCTAGCACTTACACCAGTCTTGTTCTGCAATTTTGTTGTTGTTGCTTGTTTGTTTTTCTTCTAAGATCTGTCATCTTTCCCACCTTTGCTTTTTTATTTTTCTTTTTTACTCCTCTTCCCCCACCTTTTTTCCCCCCTTTTTTCTTTCTTTCTATTTTCCCTCAGCAGTTGAGAGCCAGTGACCCTATCCAGGCATACCCACCACACCTGCCACCCTACCCACTGGGTGAGTGCCACCACCCACTCCAGCACCACTGGTTTGACAACAGACAGTGGACAATACCCATCTAACCTGTCTTCAGCTGTTCTGCATGTTCAGTGATCAGAGACTTGCACCTATACTTCCACCCACTACCAAATCCAGCCAGAGACAGAGGGTGAGCATCTTAGTGCTGCTAAACTAGTGACCACAGTAACATGCCTCCCTTGTTTCCCAGCTATATTGAAATAAAACAAAATGAAAAATCAGAGTGCAACAAATTATAATACAATAAATAAATGTATTCAATAATATTACAGTGTCTCATAGACAACAGACAACTTCAAATCACACACACACACACACACACACACACAGGCAAGATGGCTCAAACAAATGACTAAAATACAAGACCAAAAAATCTTCCAGAGGAAGAAATGCTATTGGCACACCTGATAAGAATTCAAAAGAATTATATTTAGGTAACTTCAATTGGTTGAAAG